TTCTTTTCATGTCATTTTGATCGTAACTCCTTACTCCATTCTCTGCAATTTCCTTTCATTTTAGTCAAATATACAACTCCGTCACTTAGCACATCACTGTATTTTCAATACACAAAAAGGACCATGAATTTGAGAGGAGCTGTTGCACTCAATCATCTTAGCACATCATTGTATTTTCAATACACAAAAAGGACCATGAATTTGAGAGGAGCTATTGCACTCAATCATCTTAGCACATTACTGTATTTTCAATACACAAAAAGGACCACGAATTTGAGAGGAGTTGTTGCACTCAATCATCTCACCTTCTTCATTCTTTTCTCAAACAACCAACAAGGTAAGGGAAGTCTATTGTTTGTTTAGAATGTCTTAGATTTGTTGTATAATGATGTGTGTTGATGAAATATTGAACTTGACCTAGTTATACGTGTGCACGTCTTGAAAATCCCTTCTGTGATGAATGTTAGCCTTGGAGCATCCTTGAGAATAACTATGTGCATGAATATTTCACTATTTTGATGATTGCATGTTGTTTTGTTAAAAATATTCCTTTTCTCTCATTTTTGTGACCTTAATGGCCTTGATCCAACCTTAATGAAGGGAAAAATATGATGTGCTATTACGTTATTTGAGCTGCACAATTGTTTAGATTAAAAGGATTCTCTAATCTATTCATTGTTTGTCAATATTGATCTTGGCTCTATGTTCAAAATGTGATTTAATATGTGTAGAATCAATAAGGTGATTGAATATAATGATTGCCTAGGAGTGTATGTGAATTTGGCATCTATTATGTGTATAAAAAAGAAAAATGTATGCTTTATTACTTTGTTGTGTGTCTCGGCCCTAAACCAAAATTTGTGGGAGGAAGAGTTTTGAAACCATTGCATAGATTGTGGAGTTATGCTCCTTGAAGTCACCTAGATAGTTGAGACATAAAAGAGAGAAATATGTGTTGCATAAGTAGAATTTTAACAATAAAACAGATAAGAAAAATAGAGAAGTGCATAAAATAAGACAATATAATAAGGCTAATTCACAGAATGGTTAAGAGAAATTCTTAAAGAATATATTAGAATGTAACTAAAATTAAATTGGGTAATTTTGCCTAAGTAATGAGAGTGTCTAAGAGTGAACCATAGTGGAAAATTAGGAAATTTTCACTAAAACCTCAATAGTGAACAACTTCAAGCTATATTCGGAAAATGTCGGTATACAAAGTTAGTTACACTTGGGGAGCAATTCATAACTACTCTCCAAGTGCCACTACACTATGACTATCATAATCTAAGTCACTACCATTCGTTACTTTCAAACTACAACACCAATCACAACACAACTCTATCTTTACCATGTATGTTGTCAGCTTAAATTGTTGCATCCATGCAACCTAATTGTTAACCTACAATTCACCATTTCATCTCTCCATTCTCCCACTATTGATCACTCCTTATCACTACACATCATCTCTTCACATCATTAGAAGGATGTTACATCTCTTCTCTTTCTCTATTGATGAACTAGACATGACCTTTGAAGATTAAAATGACTCAAAGGAGGTAGTGCAAAACAACAACCAGGCAATGGTAGAAGTGTTGATGAAGTAGATTGACTTCCTTGCAGAGTCACTAAATCACTCACAATTCAAACCAAAGGCATAAAAAAGAGAGAAGAGTGAGAGAATGCAATGGAGAAGAGAGAAAAACTTAAGACATAGAAGCCAAGAAACAATTTAGGGTTTGAGAGAAAAATAAGAACTAGAGAGTAGCTACGTGGCAATCACTCTACGTCATAATTGCTAGATGTCTAAAATGGCTTAGTGTTTGTTTTACCTTCTACTACCTTAGACCTATTTGATATTCTTCCTTTTTGGCAAAGAGCTACAAGAGTAAGAAGTCATTATGATGTCGTTGATCTTCCCTTAGTATTGCTACATAATGATTTTAAGGATTTTTTTTTTTTTGTTTGAACCTTGTTTTTTAAAGAAGGGTTCTTCTTTTGCTATACTTTTGTCTATTTCTAATTGAGTTTTGAGTTATATGTTTGGTTTTATTTTTTTATTTTTTAGTTTTGTTATTTGGAACTAAATTCATAGTTAGAGTTATGGTAGATATTATATTACAAACTTTGTTTTTATTTATTTATTCATTTTAATGAATTTATCTTTTTATCTAATTGGGATTTGTTTTATTACTTTAAATGCCAACCTTGTTACTATCTAACTTACTTGTGTGATAGGCAATCAAACCATTACTAATTAATGGAATTGTAGTGCAGATTAAATTTAAAATTTTGTATGATTAATCTTAATACTAAATTATCAATCAATTATTAAATTTAAAAACTTATTATTTCATAAGACTTATCAAATTCTATATCTTTCATGATCACTAAGGATATAATTTTAAGAAAAAACTATCAATGTTACATGATAATTGCATATTGATAAATTTAAAATAAGTGGTTGCTCATTGATTAAAAAGTAATTCATAAAAGGAATTGAATACAATGCTTGCTAAACAACATAGGTGAAGCCAAATGCCCTAGGTTCGTTCATAATAAACCATGTTACCATTAATAGCTATTTTAGATCATTCTCTCTTTTTTTTTTTTGTTCTTTCTCTTTACATTGTATTTTATTGCCATTTATTTTGTTGTCTCTACACTATTTCTAAACAATCAATCAATTTTAATTTACATAAATAATTAGAGGTTGATAATATTAGTAATTTCTACCTAAATTTGTGTAATAATATCTTGAAATTTTAGTAGTTTCATTATTACTTGTTGATAAGTACATTTATTCATATTTTTCATAAGAAGTCGTATAATGGTGAAGTGACAAATAAGGTACAATAGTACTCCCATGTGGTAAATTCTAGCATGGTACGGGCCTCGTAACCATTTGAATTTACTAAAAGTATTAGGGTGGTAGGTGTAACTCAAATATTGATAAGTCATAAATAAGGTACAATAATGCCCCATGTGAAAAATTCTAGCATGGCATGGGCCTCATAACCATTTGAATTTACTAAAAGTATTAGGGTGGTAAGTGTAACTTTGTGCTATAATCCTATAATGCACACTAATGATGTGTTTTATATTTATAGGTTGAGTCGCTTTAGTGGCCTTTAAATAGTTCATTTGACCTATTTAGTGAGTGAGTTATATGTTGTCCTATAAGGTTGACCATTAATTTAGGCCTCCCTTGATCTAACCCAAAATAAGAGCCCCTAATTTAGTGGATCAGAGAAGGTGATATGCTAATCTTATTATTGAAAATCTTTGTTTACGATATAATGATGGAGTTTGTATAAGTCTTTTTGAGAATCACTCTTCAAAATTTTAAAATAATTTATTTGGATGCTAATAAAAATTTAATTTATACTCCTTAGGATTAGGATTAGTGTTTGACCATACTTTAAATATTTACATTTGAACACATTCAAAAAATTCTTATTTGAATGCATTTTGGGTTGAAGCATGTATTTCTTCAATTTGTTCTTTTTTCTTTAAAGCAAAACTTTAGTTAAAGAAAAATGACCTTACATAATTTTTTAGTAAATTAAATTCTCCTCCTTTAAAGGTGCATATATTACACTATCATACCTTCTACTTTAAAATATATAATATCCTTTTTTAAAAAATAAAAGATATCATAATTTAATATATTTTAACTTTTTCATTAAAGCATTGTTAAATACCTGTTTGACATTTTTTTTTTACTAAAATACTCTTTTTAATAAATTTTATTCTTTTTCATCAATTATTTAAGAAGTTCAATATATCTTTCATGGAATTACAAGCACTTGTTATTAATATAAATATTTTAAAAGCTTGTTTTGACATCAAATAATGAAAAAGAATTAAAAAATCTTCTCATAAAAAAATACATCCTTATATTTTAGTAAAAATATTGTCAAACATGTTTAAAAATGTTTTGATGAAAAACTTAAAATAAATTAAATTGTGATTTATTTTATTTTATTTTATTAGAAAAAAGGACTATTTAAATTTAAAGTAGAAAAAAAGGTAATATAATAAAAACATAATTTTTGTTTGGCATTTTAAAACTTTCCATCCTTAATTTTTGTCAAAAGTTATTATTGCATTTCTATTTTTTTATTTTAGAAAGTTTTCTTTTATTTTTAAATTTTAATTGTAAGAATATCACTTTATTTTTTTAAAAAAAATTATAAGAAGCTGTGGAATTTTGTTTTTTTTTTTTTTGTTACTTTAGTTGTTTCCTATGCAAGTCTCTTTGAAAATAGAAAACAAATATACCAAGATGTTATTTTTATAATTAAAATAAGTAGCCCTTGATTTGTTTTTACAAGAACAAAACTTTCTTTTATTAAAAAGTTAAAAAAGAAAAATTCAACAAATTTCTTGAGTGTAATAAAAGAACTAATTTAAATTAAAAATAATAATAATGATAGTTATAGCTATTTAAAATTAATGAAAGTTTGAATATTAGGTACTCTTTGTTATTTTCTTATCCATCTCAATACTACGTGTCTTAATTTTATTTTTATATTTTAAAAATCTTTTATGCTGATATTTAATCATGAGTTCTTACATATAAAAGCGTTGATTTTTCTATTAATTAATATCAAAATTATATTAATAGAATATTTTAATAAATAAAAAATATAAGTACTAATTTTACCTTGTGAGAACACAAATTAAATTCTTTTTCTATATCAAATGATTTCTTTGTGATTTTTGTTTTTCATTTTCTCACTTGAAATATTATAACTTTTTTTTAAGTTAGTGAGTTTTATTTTATTTTATTTTACTGTCACATATTTTATAATTTTTTCTATTTAATCTTCAATAAATTCGTAATATTTAAAAGGACTAAATAAAAAATTAAATAAAAGAATCAAATAATAAAATTATGAACGCTTAAAACACAAATATTAATTAATTCTATATATATATATATATATATATATGGGGGGAAATTTGACTGTTCACAATCTAGCGTAGACAGTGGACACCATACAATTGATTCACCTTAGCCATTTGCTCTTTTTCTCATGGATTCACGATGCATTACTTCATCTTCCACTTTTCATTTATGTCTCAAAATCAAGAGATGTGCAAAACCAAATCCATCGTGGGCAAGAAATCCACTTAAGAACACAACCACCATCACAACAACTGGCTTTAAAATGGGCAAGTATGACATGATTTAGCACAACATATTTCATTCTCTTTTTTTGTCTTGTCGGAGTGTCTTTGCTCTTCTCTGTCTGAATATTATGTGATTTTCAACTCCTCTCAGCCTCAACTGGCAACAGCAAAGGCCAGTGATTAGAAGAAAGACCCAGAAATGCTCCACTCAGTTCAGCAAAAACACTACTAGCTTTAGCAAAGTAGCTGAGAAGAAAGAGGGTACTGTTGCTGGTGCAGTTGCTATTGTCATTGGCACTAGTATTGGTACTGGAATTCTTGCTCTTCCAGCAAAAGCCTTCCCTGCAGTACTAACTACCTCTTTTCTGAGTTGCAAAAGAACAACAGCCTTTGAATCAAAAAGTGTTTTGTCCTTTTCATGTTGACATGTCCAAAACATTTGTGTACTATTGCAGGGACTTATTCCAAGTTCTATAGCAGTGATAGTTTGCTGGATTTTCCTCCTTGTTGAAGCATTTTTGCTAGTTGAAATTAATGTGAGTTTGATGAGAAAGAGAGAAAGAAAAGAAAAAGACAATGAGTTGGAAGTTATTTCTATAAGAACCATGGCCCAAGAAACACTTGGGGACTTAGGTGGCACATTAGCTACTATTGCCTATGTTTTCTTGGGATATAGTTCCATGGTTGCATATAGTTCCAAGTCTGGGGAGATCCTTTTCCAATTCATCAACCTCCCAGCACCAGTTTCTGGCTGTCTTTTCACTTTACTCTTCACAATGCTTGTCTCAATTTGGGGAACTCGTGCAACTGATCAAGTCAACCAATATTTAACAGCTTCTATGATTGGTATGCTATGCATGCTTGTGAATTGTTATTGGCATTATGCAGTATAATATGATGGGGAAAACCCATTCTTTGATCTATATTTAATGGCATTGTGCAAAATTGACCAGAATTTAACAAATTTTAAGCTAGAACTTTGTGATGGTAACAAGCAGGTTTATTGTTGGCTATTGAGGTGTTAGCTGTTGTGTTTGGAGGATGGTCAGGAGTTGGGGGCATTAGTGACTGGGAAAAGATTCCAGCAACAATTCCTGTGATTATTTTTTCCTTGGTGTTTCATGATCTCGCACCATGTAAGAATGAGAGATTTTTAATGCATAGTTTTTTTTTCCTTTCATCTATTAGTTTTGTTTGGCTAAAAAGTTTTGCTTCTAAAAATTTTGCAGTTCTCTGTGCTTATTTGGAAGGTGACCTTCGTCGTGTAAAAGTTTCAGTTTTCCTCGGTAGCCTTGTGCCACTGGTGGCATTGCTTGTCTGGGATGCAATTGCACTTGGTCTTGCAGCTGAAGCAGAAAATGTAGTTGATCCGGTTGAACTGTTATATAGGTAGAGAATAATTTGGGATACAGTTGTGTTGTTAATGTTTAACTATAAAGTTAGAGGCAATTCTGGGGAGCTTAATCAAAAATCACTAACAGTAGTCTCAGATAATAGATTGTTACGAGTATTAAAGGATTGATCCTAGCATATCCATAATCAGAAGACCGTTATTTTTAACATCAAATAATTAAAATTCATAAATGTCAAATTTTCAGGTTAAAATGGAGTGGCGTTTCTGTTATGGTGGGCGCCTTCTCACTTTTAGCAGTAGGTACATCACTTATTTGCACCCTCCTAGGCTTCTTAGAGTTCTTCAAGGAGCAACTCAGAAACCAAACCTGGCATTCCTCTCCAGCAAAAGAGGTAAAAGAAAATTATGTACCTTCAATACCTTGACTAAGTTACTGTATATTTGTATCATTGCAAATGCAAAAAGAAGAATCATGCTATACTTTAATGAAGAAATCTCCTTGGACAGAGAAATTGGTGGGCCAGGAACAAAATGAATGTCACAGCTGTGACAATGGTAGTTGCTCCTTCTCTCTTTGTCTCAACAATATTTCCAGATGCATTCTCTGCTGCCACAGATGTTGCTGTAAGTTGAGGACGAATCTATTTCTTTGTGGGACATTTGGTGATAGTCTTCATAAATTAAGTAGATTTTCATCTAATCACATTTAACAAATTATGCGTTTGGTGTTTATTATTTGTTTTGTTGTGAACTAGGGGAGCTATTGCATGACAGTGCTCTATGGAGTTCTCCCACCTGCAATGGCATGGGCAATGCACAAGAGGGAACCTGAACTTTCTGGTCAAAAGAACTTATTAAATGCAAATCCAGCGCTTTTTGTGGCTGAACTATTTGCATGTGGCATTGTATTGGAGCAAATTCTGCAAGATATATTAGTACTTCACTCGTAATAATAAATACCTTTCTCTTGTTTAAACATAATAAATATAATTTGGAGTCTGGAGGAGAAGGTTTTCCTGATAAGGCCTGCTTTTGCAATAGAGTCGTGTGTGTTGAATTTGAAGGAAAGAAGATATGTCATGGTGCCAAAGGTTGAATCTGAAGCATTTTTAAGAAATATAGAACTTGCTAGCTATATTTGACTTGGCTGCAAAGCTTGAATCCTTATTCAAATATTTTGTTCTGCCATAAATTCAAGTCCGTTTTCATACAGCTCCACGTTTGCATCTTGAATTATTTTAATATATTGCACATTTGATAAGGTAGCATATGTTTACAATATACATAGTAGCAAATGGCTACGTACCCTTCAGGTTTTCAGAATTCTCTAATAAAGAGATGTTAAAATTGATGATTTAATGTTTTAAAAGAAATTAATGGAAGTGTGTCAACTGTGAATTATTTACACTTGGTATTATATGTATCCAGCCACATACAGAGAGTGCGGCCGCCATGCATTTTTACATTCCAAATCACCTATCAGTAGAAAAACGAATGAATGTTTGAGTCTTATTTTCTTGTGAAGTTCTTGATTTAAGACACAATTTTTATGTTTTTCATGAATAGTACTCTCCTTTTGCAAACAGAACTAGAAATGAAGTACAAAAACATGCATGTATTTAGGTCACAACACTTGCAGCCTGAACAGCTCCACTACTCAGTTCTCTTTTCATTAACTCCAAAATGTCATAGACCTGTCAAAGATATAACAAATAAATGCAAAAAATAAAAAACTATGGTGCACCAAATTTAAGCAACAAACTAAGAGCATGATCCTTCTAAATGATTTGAGGGCGGGACATAGCTTTAACTGGAAAATCAAATAGAATGTGAACTTTTCACCTCAAAGTACTGCTGCAAAGCAGGTGCGTGCTGATGAAGAGTTACATATATCTTCTCGAGTAATGTCAAAAGTGCATCCACTTGATCACCAAGAAGATCAACCTATATTTAAAAAGACACTTTATTTGAATAGTTTCAAATGATACTGGCATTTCCATAAAGGACTAACCAGAAATATTTGATTTCAAGGAAGAAAATGAATTGCCTAAACACTCAACTTCATTGTTTATCTGACTAGTTAATGCAGAATATAGAGTTTGAGATTATGCTACAGACCTCAGCTTCAGCTTTTTGGAGATTCTGACTCCTTCTAATGAATGCCTTCTGGTAAAGCAATTCCTTGTTTCTCAAGCAACCAACCAACTCAATAACCGGATCCAAACAACATTTTATTTTTTCCAACCTGTATGCATAGTTTGCAAAAATGTAAGGAGAACGAAGCTTTAAGTAATAGGTAAATGTCGTGCATGTCGAAAATATTGATGAATAATATTGACTGGTAAAATACCTCGTAGTCATCATCTCAAATTTCTGGCATATCATTGCCCCAAATTCTGCAAATGTTAGTACAAGATTCAAAAGGGGTAGAAGAGTAGAGAAAGACAGCTTTAATTGACCTTCCTCGTTAGTCGACATTTGATTATGAAAACATTGTGTCTCACACAAACTGTGTCCTAAACTGGTGCCTAATTTCCTTAGCAGTGCCTTGCTTATACCTAACTGTTGCAAGACATTTTCCACCTTGCTGGTCAGTGAAGAGAATGTCTGTTCTTCACCAGTTAACAAATCTTCAAATATTTCATGCTCATGTAGGTCGCCACGTTCTGAACCCAAGTCAAGTTGCTTGCTGTGTTCCTTGATCTCAGACTTTGCACTTAGCATTAGATTCTCCTCTGCTTCAAAACAACTATGTAGAGACTCTAACAATATAATTGTAAAATTCTCTTCTCCTTCAACTTTCTGAACTTGATTTAACATCATAGTAGAGCAATTATCTTCAATGGTATTATTATCTTCAACGGTATTGTCTTGAACCAGTGATTTGACTTCCATGGTCAAGAGAAAAGCATCATTCAATTTCTCAAGCATGATAACTTGGTGTATCTTCTCCCTGATGAAGTTCTCAATACAATAGTTATCTAGTTGCAACTGCCATTCCTTAAGCATAGTTTTGAATACAACCATACAGACATCTTCCTTCAGAAAACTTTCAATGATTATAAACTGTAACTGATCTAGAAAATTATTCTGAATGCTGTTTTCTTGATTCTCCTCTGAAGCAGAACTTGCAATATTGACAAAATTTTTCAACGTTTCACCAAAGACAATCTGATGTATATGCTCTCTAATGACACTGTCTGCTTCACAACCTACCATCATTTTGTTGAATTCATCAACAGTTTTCCTGAAGATAAGCATGCATACATCCTCATTTATTAGACATGCATACATACTCTCTAATGACACCGTCTTTGTTCTTTCTAGTTGGTTATTAGATGTTGAGCACTGTAAACAATGTTCCTTAGCTTCTTCACCTTGTCCCTTGACTAGGGAAAATTCTTGATTTCCAGTGATATCCATAACTGCCTCAGACAAGACAATCAAATTTATTTCGTCTCTTATTTTCCTTTCAATTGTGTTTGCTTCAATGTGGGAATTCCACTCATTGATAACTTCCCTTAGGTAACATTTATGTACATGCTCCTGTATTTGCTTCTCCAAGTCAAAATTGCAGGATTTGCAACCAAATATTAATTCCTCCTGTTTTATATTTGCTGCATCAGAGACTCCTTTTACCTTTTCCATAGAACTTCCCTGATTATCAACATCCTTGCTAGTATGAATCTCATTCACTTCTGACAACTTCCTACCTGAAAATGGTTCCTTGTTGTGAAAAGCTTTTTGGTTGAAAAGAGATTCACAAAGTTTAGCATTTCGATGTATAAAGTTGTCCAATTTTTGTGAGACAGCATGGATTCTCTCTCTCACGCGATTTAGTACCCGTTTTTTCCTGGAGGATGAGGTATTTACCTCTTGTAGTATTCCATGCTTACTCCAATTCATTTCTTCACTCTTTCGGCGAATAATAGACTCATGATTTTTTATCAACTTGGCAACATATTTGCTTCCATCTTCATTCTCTTCATCTTCTGGTGTCTTTTCCTCCATATCTATCTCTTCCACCTTTTGAGGGAACCTGTGAGGTATTTCATGACTTCCTTCTGGTGATGAAGGCTTTGATGGCGACGAACGGGATGAACAGTCAGAATCCTCATGACATGTTTCATGTAAAACAGCGAGTTCATGCTGTAAACTTGTGAACTCATTCATAAATCGAGGCAAATGCTCCTTCAAAACTTTGAGAACCTGATTCTCATCTCTCCGTTCTGCTTCAATATTCTCTTGGAACTCCCTAAGGAAACTTCCAATTAATATAGACATCACATCTTTTTCAATTCTCAACTTCCATTGCCTCTCTTTTGGCCTCATCTCACACAAGAAAAGGGCACTTTGCATCTTTCCAAAAGCAAGATCCATAGTCTGCTTTAGTATGTCTATGTCTGAATCCATCTCTTCAACCCTTTTCCTGCCAATGCCACTTTGCTGTACTTGTACCTCACTCAACATGCCATGTTGTGGCTCAAGCTTTTGTTGATCCACCCTAGTCCTCAACTCACAGAAATCGCCATTGCCGTGATCATTTTGTGTTGTTTCATCATTGTCAACATTGAGATTACTTGTTTCAATACCATGGCTGACACTGACACCAAAAGAATCTAATTGTCTTGCTTTTACCTCTAAAGCATGCTTGAGTTGTAACTCATTTTCTAATCTCTGTGTCAACTCTTTGTCCTTCTCTAATATAGCTAATTCAGATTCCTTGAGACGCCATTGAAGGCGATCTTTTATTTCTCTCAAGTCATTAAGTACCTCTTCATGATTGCTTTCAAGAAAAGTGCTTTCAGTTTCTGCATGAACAATGCTCAAACAACCTTCAAGTTGCATCACTGCCAACTCATAAAATTTTGACATCTCATTCAACCGCTCAATCACTCCTGTTTTGGTCTTCATCTTCTCTTGAGCTCTGTTCATGGCATAGTGCACGATCCACATCATGGTAGAATCTGCCAAAGACACTTCAAATCTTCCATTCATATATCCGAAAATCCCATCCATTTTTTTCCAACAAATATACACTACACAGACCCAGTTGCAATTTCATTACACAAAAAATAGAACAATAAGCTAGTGACAAATAAATGCCAAAGAAAATTCATCAAATAGGGTTCAAACGCAAAAACTAAATGGAAATCAAAGAGAAATGAAATGATCTGAAATTTACACTAATAGCGGGTATTAGAATTGACCTTTTCAGGGACTTTACGTGGTGGTAAGCATGTCTCTAGGCATTCTTTAAGGAGATTTGTCCGTGCGTTTTGAAATATTTGTTAACGTGTTTTGATAAAAATTTTAGCCTAATTTATCAAAATAAACACTTTTAGTATACTTCAATTAGTTTATAGACATAAATCTTCACATAGTAAAATTTTATTAAATAAATAAATAATTAAATTATTTATTCATCCTAAATGGGGAATCACTGATAACTAGATGAAAATAGAGACAAAAGAAGTTGATAGATAACTAAAGCTTAGCGAAAAAGGGAGAAATTCATCTTTGAACCAAAATGTAACACCATTGACAAAGTGCATTTGATTGGGTACATGAGATATTAATATTATGATTCAAACCTCAATTTTTACGTACGATAAATAAATGGCTAAATTTATCTGTTATACTAATTTATCGAGACTTGGCATTGACCAACTAAAATTTTGAATATTTTTATTTCTAGAGTATAAGCTTCATATTTTAAAAATGAGACAATATTTAGTAAGGCTTATTTTGAATGATTTTGTTTTGATTTTTAGTTTTTAAAAATTATATTTTAAAATAATTTTATAAAACCATTTTTAAGAAAAAAATAAAAATAAAATTTGTTTGGTAATTTAGCTTTTAAAATTGTTTTTAATTGAATTTTCATTAACTTTAGGAAGAGAAATAGAAAAATAAAGACAAAAACACTTTAGAAATATTCTGTTTTTCAATTTAAAAAATTGAAAATAAAAAATTATTTTTAAAACTTACGTTAATAAACAAGTTTTTATTTAATTAAGAAGGGATTTAAGAGAGAAGAGAGATTAAGAAGAATTTAATCTTGTTTGAGAGTTACTTAATTAGGAAAGAAAGATTTTGGAAGTTTTTCTAAACCCTCCAAAGCTCTTTAAAAACTTATTTTTTAAATACCTCTATTTTGAGAGTTTTCTCTCTTCCACTCTTTTATACTATTTCACAAATAAATTTTTTTTAACTTTTAAAAAAAAAATGTTAGTTTTTCAAGTAATAATTTTTTAAAAAAAAATTTTAAAAATATATTAATTTTAAAATTATTTATATAATTAAACTCCCTGTCATCCTCCCTTCTCAATATTAAACATCTAAACAAAGGAGAAGTTTAACCTCTTTCTCCCTCCTTTCCCTTTCTCTCATTCTCCCTTCAAACCCTTCCCCTTCCTCCCCCTCTAAATTCCCAAACAAAGCCTAAAGAAAAAAATTCTTATCCAAATAAATATCAACCACTCTATTAGTATACCAGCCAAGGATCACATATTACAGTCACTAGATAAAACTCCTTCCACTCCAAAACAATTGCCTTTTTAAGGTTGATGTAAAGTTTTACTATACCATGACAAAACACCCTTATCAATACAATTATTTATCAATATCTAAAACTCCTTCCCTCTTATTTTATTCAGTTGAAATAATGTTAAATTAATTATCAACACATATATTAAATGGAGGGACTGGGGAAGTATTAAATATTGACAATAATGAGAAAATGAATAACCAGCATTGCAGACTTTGGTCCGCGTATTTCCTTTGAATAAATTGTCATGTTGAACATTGAAATGAGGGAATGAAGTTCTAGGCAAGGAAACCTCCATTAATTAATCAATTTAGTACCCTTTACGAATCATGTAGGAAGATAATTATATAATAATGTTAAAATCTTAAAAGTTATAAGAAAGCCATTAACCAACTGTACAAAACTTTATCACGGTGCTTGCACAATGTGTCACCAAGGGCACCCGAGGACAGAACAGAAGTGCAGCCAAGTAGTTCCTTACTTCTCATCAATACAAGCTTCAAGTGAAAAGCACAGTTAGGATGACAGAAGATTGAAGGTAGGAAAGCTAAAATGTCACATTGAAATTAAAAGCGAAGGCCAATTTTGTTATCCTTTTATATATAACAAAGTAACAATAGTGTCTTTCCGCAGAAAAGAGGAAGAACGCAAACATATGTATGTAATCCAAAATCAATTGCGTAGAAGCTATATACATAAAATTGAATTGGTGATAAATATACGATCCCTGACTAACAGCAAAATAACACTGAGATTATCAGATCTTCCAGAAAAGTTTGAGGCATCATGCAAATGAGTAACTTAGCATAGACAATCCTATTCACGAAAACCAAACAAAATTACAAAAAAGTTCAATTTTCAAATAAAATAAACCAAATACCGATATTAAATTCAGTCCTAAATATAAATCATCATAAAGCCATGAAAAATAATTTTTCTAAGGATCCAGGAAAGAAAAGGTGTAAAGAAATTATATTGATTAATTTTTATTTTAAAAAATGGAGTAATTGGGCATTAAAATCACAATAACAACTAACCTTAAAATATTATCTAACTCAACATCAATAATAGACATGGCAGCAGAATACCCAAACAGGGGAGCTATAGAAACAACACAAAAAAACAGGATTAAATTAATAATCTATATAGGTCAAGCTCTAATTAATGATATAATATGATGGTGGTTAAATATAAGATATAAAGTCATTCAAAGTATAATTGTAAATACAAATTAAAAGGAAACTCTCCCCTCTCCCTTCGTATAAAAATAAAACAACTGTTACCAAATGGAAGTTACAGCATTTTCTAATGCACACACTATTATTTTCACGGTCTTTGACAGTCTCACGGTAATCACAACAAAACTTTCTCTCAACCATCAGAGAGAATCTACAAGAGGAAATAAAAATTGGAGAAAATACCAAGAGCTCAACAGCATTAAAGAACAATGAATTCAAGTTGGTGCTCTCTAAACCCTTAATTGTGTGAGAATTCTGTATTATTGTGAGAACTACGAAATTCAAGATTAATGAGAATAGTAATTTCATAATAGTTATATCAAAAATAGAAATTACATAATGGATTAAAATCTAATAGTTAATATCATAGCATTGGTTATGAATTTCATGATTCTCCATAAAGAATTGGTTCTTTGTTAAACCAAATTGCATGAACCCTAAGAATTTTGAGAATTAAGGTTAGTCAAGAATTACAATTATATGATGGATTGCCGTTGTTTTGATGTTATATGATAGTTTAAGATTCAATAATCGAAAACCCTAAGATTTTAGAGGTTAAAAAGATTAGTTTTTGAATTTGTAACATGACCCACATGATTTGTGAAGTCTATGCAGGGCCATGCATTAAGAATAAAGTACTTATACGTCTCCTTAATGTTATTAATCATATGTAATGATCCACTTTTTGGTTATCTCCTAGCGTTACAATTAATGAGCTAAATTGTTCGCCCTTAATTTTATGTTATCATACAATTTTAAACAATTTACAACACACAATTAAATGCTTAAAGAATCTTTTAAAGCCAGGTCACTTTGGTGATTAACAAGCTACTCATACAATTAAGCATTAAACTGTGAAATGCCCATTATGATCATATAATTTAGAATTAATTATTCACTTTGGTGAATAAAATCTAATTTGATATAATTCTAAAATGTCAATAAGCTTTACGAAGTCTATTCCTCATTTTTCCATGAAGCACAGTAGTATTGTTACTATGCACTATTGTGCTTATCCTCGATGCATAACCGTGCTTCTTTGAAGTATGGCCATGCTTATTCTTAATGTATGGTCTTGCTTCATTGATGAATGGCCCTACTTCGTTGATGCATGGCCGTGCTTCTTTGAAGTATAGTCGTGCTTATTCTTAATGCATGGTCTTGCTTCATTGATGCATGGCCCTACTCACAACTTAAACTTAGCAAATGATGTGTGTCACGTTACAAATTCAAAAATCAATCTTTTTAACCTCTAAAACCTTAGAATTTTTTATTATTGAATCCTAAACTATGATACAACATTAAAACAACAACAATCTATCATATAATCGTAATTTTGGGCTAACCCTAATCCTCAAAATTCTTAAGAGTTCATACAATTTGGGAAAAAACTTTAACAGAGAACCAATTCTTCATATAGAATCACGAAACTCAACCAATACTTTGATACCAACTGTTAGATTTTAATCCATTATATAGTTTCTATCTTTGATGTAACTATTATGAAATTACTATTCCCATTGATCTTAAATTCCATGGTTCTCATAACAATACATAGTTCTCACACAATCAAGAGTTTAGAGAGTACTAACATGAATCCATTGTTCTTTAATATTACCTCCCTGCAATGTTGAGCCCTTGATATTTTTCTCAACTCTTCTTTCTTCTTTTAGCTCCTCTCTGATGGTTAAATATAAAATATAGAAATACAATTATAAAAAAATTCTCCCATCTCTCTTAATATATATAGAGGTTATGAAATTCTCTAATACGCGGACTATTATTTTTACAGTCTCACAGTAATCGCAAAAGAACTTTCTCTAAACTATCGGAGAGGAGCTAAAAGAGAAAGGAAGAGTTAAAAAAACACCAAGGGCTCAACAACATAAAAGGGAAGTTGATGAATTCACATTTTATTAGATTTTTACTTGTCATTTTGACATTTCTCAATAGAAAAAGTAAACTTAAGAAGTGTAAATAACATAAAAACATTATTTTGGTCAAATATCATAGGTTTCTTAATTTTTGATTAATTTACATTGATTTACATAGATATAGTTTGCGATTTTGATCATTTGAATAATTATGTAGGAATTTCTAGACTTTTTCCATAGATTTTCAACATTTGAGAAAGTTTGATATGAAAGTGATCACTTTAGACTCCATAATGAACACTACAGCAAACTAAATCCAAAAGGGCACACTAAAATGATCACTATGAACCCATAGTAACAACTACAT